TCTTCCCCATCCTTATTTTTTCAACCCCCTAGTTCTATGTCAACAGCAGCTTTCCAACAGAAACAGAATGGCAGCCACATGTGTAATTCTAAATTTTCTAGTACGTATGCTGAAAAAGTTAAAAGAAACAGGTGAAATTAGTTTCAGCAATACATTTATATAACTTAGTTTTTCCTAAATATTATCATTTCGACATGTAATCAATACTAAAAAATCATAAACGTGATACTTTACATTTTTTCGTTCTTCCAAATCCAGTATGCATTTCACATTTCTAGCACATGTCCATTCAGATGTCAAACTAATTTATCATGGAAATACTTGATCTATAGATTTTATAAATTCACAACTGAAAAAGTAAATTTACACACTGAAGTTGTTCCAAACATATTAAAAATTTCCAGTAACTTTATTATCATTTTAAAATTAAATAAAGCTTAAAAGCCAGTTCCTCAGATATACTTGCCACATTTTAAGTGCTCAGTGACCATGTATGGCTGGTGGCTACCATACATACAGCTCTGGAGTAGAGCATATTTAGCTTCTGACTGTTGGATTTCAGCTCTAGTTGCTCACCAGAACCCAGAATCCATAGAAATGCCACCTAAGCATGTAGTTTAGAGGCATGGGGAGGGCTCTGGTTCCATCAGGCGGCCCCTGGCCCTACTGAGAGTGTGACAGTGCTGGGCCTATAAACATTCCCCTTCAATGCAAGAAGTAGCCCCAAGGAGGAGACAACTAGATGTTACCACCTCTTAGATAATTTCATAAACTCCTGCTGCAGACACTTTGCATACCTTGGAAGGTTCTTAGACATCCATTAATTTTCCTAGAGGGACAAGACTTTCACCTATGAACCATGAGCTTTTGGCCTTCGACAAACCCGTTATGCCCTATTTCACTTTCATTTTTTGTCTTTCACAGACAGTATATATGAGTTCACACAATGGTGTATATAAAAAATCTGTATTGTTTAAAGATTAATAATGAACTCCTATGTCCCCACCACCAGGTTAAGAAATAGAATTCTGCTTGTTCCTTGGAAGGCCTTCATGCTGACCCCATTATAGCCCTGCTGTCCTGAATTCTGTCAGTCAAACCTCCTTTTCTGAGAGTTTTACCTTCTCTGTATGTCTCCCAAACCAGGTACTGCTAATATAAAAAACATTTTTCTGTATTTACTCTGCTGTGACTTGCTCCTTGTGCTCCATGTTGTCTTTGAGACTTGGAGACAGGGATGCACACAGTTATCATTTGTGTTTTCTCTGCTCGGTAGTTTCCTATTGGGTGAGTCTATCACACTTTATCCAGTCTCCTCCTGGTGACTTCTGGTTGATTCCATTGGGCTGCTGTGACGATGGGGCTGCTGTGGGTGTTCCTGTGTGTAGACAGAAGCTCCTTGTGGGGGATTCTTCAGACTGGCATTGCTGGGTGAGGGGCCAGCAAATACTCAACTAATCTGATGCCAGGAGAGGTTGTATTAGTTCAGCCTTCCAGCAGCGGGTGAGGACTGATTCAGTCTTCAGATGTTGTTTTGACAGGGCCCAGGGTGATGAGGGGACTACAGGAGTGGATGCTGGCATCCCTGCTAGCCATCAGAGGCCAGGCCTCACCAGGGTGGACCTTAGTTGGGCATATAGGCCTGAGACTCTAGGCCTAGGAACTAGCTAGTGTTTCCTCAGATGCCTCCCATGAGTAGCGCAGCACTGAGGACACAGATTGACTGGCCCCTGGAGACTCAAGCTAGGCAAACCTACCCCAAAAGGATAGCCCAAGGGCTCCAGGTGGCCTGGAAGCAGGAGGGGTGACCATTGGGTGGTTTCAGGTGGGACACTCATAAAACAACCCTCACCACCATGAATTCCACCTGCCTCCCTCAAGCAAAGAGAGGCAGCCTCTCCCTTGGGCAAGGGTTGAATTTTGTCTCCAGCCCCCTGCCTCTCCACACTTTTGTTGACATGCTTCGAAAAAAGTTTACTGAAGACCCTCAGGCTCTGTGTTTGGAATATTCACATCCTGTTGTTTAAGCCCCTTAACCAGTCTGTGAGGCAGGTACCATGATCCCTGACTTCAGAGGAAGAGACAGAGGTTCCAAAAGGTTAAGCAGTTACCCAGGGAATGTTAGATCAGGGAGACCAAGTGAGAGACAAGGCGAGGAGTCTTTGGCAACAGTTCCTTTTGTGGTTAAAAACAGCTGAATAGAGACATCTAGCTGTGAATGAGTAACTTGCCTTAGACCAAACCTTCCACCCAGAACAACCATCAAAGATAGAAAAATTAAAAAACAAAACAGACACATGACGATTGAGCTTATAGAGTTATTCTGCATGTAGAGAAGCGTTATTTCTGTTCTGGGCCTATCTACCCCAGCCACAGCATGGTGTTCGTCCACAACAACTGCAAGGTGTTCAGATTCTTTAAATCTGAATGTCATAAAAACTTTATAAAGAAGCGCAATCCTCACAAGGTCAGGTGGACTAAAGCCTTCCGTAAGGCAGCTGGTAAAAAGCTTAGGGTAGGTAATTCATTTGAATTTGAAAAACATAGAAATGGACCAGTCAAATACCAGCAAGGGCTGTGGAATAAAACTATTGATGCAGTGAAGAGAGTTGAAGAGATCAAACAGAAACACCAAGCTAAATTTATAATGAACAGATTTGAAAAAAAAAAAGAACTACCAAAAGTTCAGGACATCAGGGAAATCAAACAAAATATCCGTCTCACCTGGGCTCCTCTTGCAGGCAAAGGAAGGCAGCTGGAATTAAAAGGATGTGGACATGGAAGATAGTTCTTAAAAATCTCACTCCCTGTAACCATTTCTACAAGTGCATTTGAAAATCTCCTTTGGAGACTTAGGACTTCTAAATTATCAACTTATATTTTACATCAGGTTACTCAAATGAAAGGTAATTAAAAGTATGTCTCTACTACATTGCCATTTGCAAAATGTTAGATATTTTGGATGTTAGATTGTATCTCAAACCTTCACTGATCAGTTGAGATGAAAATTATGAAAATTCCTCTTATCAATACAGAAGCAAGTTGTGGACACAAAATGATCATGCCATTTAGATAATGGCAGTAGGCAACATTTATGTAATAACTAATGATAAAAATTCATGGCTAGTGATAATATAAAAAAAAGTCTCCTTTGCAGTAAAAAAAAAAAAAAACAGAAAAATAGATGTGTATAGGTATCAGAGAGACTAAGACAGCTAGGACTTGAGGGGCCAGGATCCTGGCAAGAAGGACCCCACATTTCAAACATGTCCCGTCCATGTCTGGAACCTATATGGTTCCCAGGTATGTGATTCTTTCCTTTGTGGCCTGGACCCTGGAGCCAGACAGCTTGGGTTCAAATTCCCTGCTCTTCCACTTTGTATCTGTGTCACCTGGGCCAGTTACCCTTCCATGCCTCAGTATCTTCCTCCATACAATTTTTACCACCTATTTAATGGCATGTTTTTTGCATTTTTGTCTTTTCCACTGTTTAAAATAGCCCCCGAGAATTGCACCACACCGCTAGTGTCTAGTGTTCCTAAGCATGGGAAGGCTGTGATGTACCTTACTAAAGAAACACGTGTGTTAGATAAGCTTCATTCAGGCATGAGCTACAGTGCTGTTGGCCCTTAACTCAATATTAATGAATCAACAATATATATTAAACAAGGTGTCTTAAAACAGAAACACACATAAAACAAGTTATTGATTAATTGGTGAAATTGTGACCAGAGGCTTACAGACACCTAACCTCATATTTCCCTTAGGAGAAATCCACTAATCTAGTGTTTGTGGCAACTTCATAGACCGTCACTGCTGTAATGACCATTGTAACCCTACTTCCCTCACAGGGTCATAATGGGGGTGAATGGAGTCCACATCTGTAAAGACTGAGAACAGTACTGGAATTGGGAGCTCCCTAGATGTGCAGTGGCCATAACTGTGATCATCACGGTGGCTCACTCTCATCTCTATAGCCACCCTCCTCGATCCTCCTGCTGTGCCCTGCACCCCCATAGCTCCTTGTCCGCTCACTTCTCAGCCCCATGCCCTCTGTCTCCCCCTTTCTGAGCTTGGCAATGCCTCTGATGGCTCAAGAGAATAACTGACAGCCTTTGACCCCGTCTCTTAGTGGTGACCAGAGTGACCTTTGGAGAACGTCACTACCAGCCTCTTCCAGCTTGGTGCCTTCCCAGGCAGCTGAGCGCCCTCAGTAGGCCTGTGGCCCCCCGCCTGCCTCCATCCCTCCCTGCCACCTCCACTCTGGCTGTACCACTTTTCTCTCCTTTAAGGGCTCCATCCCCTCCCACACAGCAGGACCTCTTCACCCCTTACTTGCCCTCCTCTAGCTGTTAACCTGTCTCTCTGGCTGGTCAGTAAGGCTGGCGGTAATCAACTCATCTCCTCAGAGCCTGGACGCTCAGCAATTATGTGTTAAAGGACATCAGCAGGTCACATTGTCTCCTGCAGATCATGTTAATAAGATCTGTCAGACAGCAGCCTGCAGTGAGAACCTCTCTTCTGCACACCAGCAGACTTCTGTCTCTTACAATTTGGTGTTGCCCGTTTCAATCAGATTCTAGGAGCTTGGCTGATGCTTCCCTGCCTCGCCAGTGCAAACCACATTTCCAACTAGCCCAGAGCAGTGCTGCCCAGGGCCCTCCTCCAGTGGTGGGTATGTTCTATGTCTGTGCCCGTGGCCACGTGAGGCCACAGGACCGGAAATGTGGCCAGTGCCACTGAGGAACTGACTTTGTACATTTTATTTTATTTCAGTAAATGTAAATTTAAATAGCTTCATGTGGCTGCTATAAGGACAGCACAGGCTTAGAGAGTGACCAGGAGAACACAGTATAATTCATTAAAAGAAGCTGAAAAGATTCCCTGAAAAACATTAACACAGTCCCTCTGGGATGTAGAAGTGGCAATAGTTAAACCATGCAATAGTGGACTGGAATATACTAAAAAATGATAATGCTATTTTTAACTTTGACTTTCAGAGTTTGAACCACCACTGCCTCCACCAGATTCTGAATGTCAAAAAGCAGAGTATCTGTTTGATGAATTTGAGGACAGCAGGAACTTTGGGCAACCCTGGGTAAGAAAAAGCACCTTCCATATTGAAGACCTCTTCCTCCTTCCTCTCCGTCCTCTCCTCCCTCCCTCTCTTACCATATAACATATGCACACAAACATACTTCCATTAGCTTTTATTTCTCATACTTCTCTTTCCTTTCTCTTTACCAAAAAAAAACACCTATCCCATATAAAACCTGTTTTCACCCTTAGCACCAGCACTGAAGCATCTTTCCACATCACAAACTATCCACCATATTACTTTTAATGAAATAGTGTTAAATTTTATGTTTGTACTCTAATTCATTTAACCCATCCCCTACTGTTGGACATTTAGGTTGTTTCCAGTTTTGTACTTACTGTCTTTGGTATCTTAGTAGTTTGGGTAGGCCTAGCTTTTTTAACAAATAGACCCAAAACCTGTGATGGCTCAAGCCAGGCGTGGTTTGTGTCCCCTTCTCAGGTCAAGTGGCCATGCCTCTGTGAAAAATGATTCAGGGAACTGGGCTCCTCCTACCTTCCTGTCACCTGTCAGTACTTTACTGTCCTCTGGGTGGTTGAGGCTGGATCACCCTATCCAGGTTCCACTGTAAAAAGAGACGAGCACAGAAGGCCTGGAAGTGGCATTTGTCCCTCCCTCACATTTCAGTGGGAAGGACTTGGTCACACGACCCCAGCTAACTGCAGGGAGGTTGGGCCATACAGCCTAGTGGGTGTCCTGGGAGAAAAATGGGCTCTGGTGGAAAACTGCCAGGCACTGCTCCAGTCTCCACCCTGCCACTGCTGGCTCATGAACCCACCTTCCTTGCACACACACGCTGACCCCCAGGCCCAAGGCTGCAGCCACAGCTCCATGTGGTCACTCATCTACCTCAAAGGCCAAGATCTCCAGGTGACAAGCAGTGTCTCTCTCAGGTATAGGAATGGCTTCTCTGACACACGCAGAAATACACACATGGTAGCTGCTACAACATACAACAGCTACCATTCAGAAAAGAGATGCCTCCCTGGCCCACAGCAGTGATGGAGCCCCCACCGAGCAGCACTGTTACTGCCTCTGCCCTGGCAGAGGGGGGCGCTCCTCCATGAAACCCTGGTTCCACCCCCGGGAGGTTCCAAAGGCTGTCTTTAGGCTCCGGTAGACCCTGGTAGGCCAGACCCATTTTTCTTTGGTAACAGGAGGCTTCTGACCTCTTTACTCCCAGACAGTCCCATTGCCAGGAACCCCATCCAAAGTTCTTCTCTGGATAGGAGCCTCAGCCTGTCTTACTTTTTACATCCTGGCCCCACTGCCCAGCTCTCTCAACCTAACAGCAGGTTGCCTAAAGTCATGTGGAACAGTAAGATCGGAGACCAGCCACACCCTCACCCTGGTTTCTGCAACAGGATCAGGTCCTCTTTTTTGGCTTCATGAGAGGCCTTGGTTGAACAAAGCCTTAGAGCCTCCCTTTGGCTTTTCTCCAATGTTCTGTTCTGGCCACTGTTCACATGCCAGCAGCAACAAGGAGCCACCCACAGGCAGGAACAGTGTAAGTGTCCCCAGAACTGCAGGCTCAGTGAGCACGCTGTTGGCATTCCACACTACCATAGGCAGCAGGATGGCAGAGGGCCTTGTGAGCTCCCGGTCTATGGTGTCTGTTCACTGGCCCTTCCACAGTCTCTGGGCTCATACCATGTCTGCACACTTGAGGGTTTTGTTTTGGTGGCACCATTTCCAGCTCCTCCCCACCCAGATTCTCTGCTACTGTCCCCTCGCCCCTGCAGGCAGTCTGAGGTGGGGTTAGCCTTGCGGAGGCACCAAGTCCAACTCCCTTCTTCACGGTCTAGTTCCAGCCCCTGGGAAGCCCACCTTTGTCCTGCCATGTGTAGGAGGAAAGCCCACATCTGCTGTGGCCCAACTGGTTCCTGTCAGGAAGCACCTGCCAAGCTCTTGATTTTGGACTTTATACCCAAGTCAGGTGTGTCTTTATGTTTCCCACGCTCCTCAAGACACATGTCAACTCCTTGTCCGGTTGTCCCCAGCTCTCTCTCCATTGGCTGTAACTGAGAGGAGGGAGAGGGAAATGTCCAGCACACACTACCAGGCCCAGCACTCTCTTTAAAGACCAGCCCCTCACCGTTTCCTGATCAGTCTGTAACCTTCCCTAGGCGTGGCAGTCATATGTCAGATCTTTATGTCTTGCATTCTTTGTCTAGCAGCCATTGGTATCTCACTTTAGGCCTCTTAGAAACTGTCAGCTGATGACATCTGTTATACATCTTGTAACCTAAAGATATGTGGACACAAAAGCTTGTACTAGGGTGTTTATTATAGCAATACTTTGTTATAATTCTCATACCATAATTATTCAACATTTTTAAATGTACCAAAAAATTCAACATGTAAAAATGTTCCAATCAGTGAATTTTCATATATTCACAAAGTTGTACTACTTTTACTTCTAATTCCAGGACATTTTTATTGCTCCACCAAGAAACCCCCTGCCCGTTAGCAATCATTCCCCATTCTTCCCTAACCTAATCTACCAGTTAGCAACCACTAATCTACTTCCTATCTCTTTGAATTTATAGTGATGTTTTAAAATTGAAAAATATGACATAAAAATTGTGTATTTTTCAATAAAAATGGGAAAATATGAAATATGTATACAAGAATGTCTCCAAGTCCTAAGTATACAGCTTGATAAATTTTCAAAAGCTAAACATCTCATCAAGAAATAGCTCAAGAAACAGAATGTTACACCAGCTCCCAAAGCAAGCCTCCTGCTTGCCCCTAGTTATCAACCCCTCCCTGCCCCATAATGATTTCCAATCATTATGGCTTAGTTTTGGCTGTTTTTTTTACTTTATATAAGCTGTGACATTGAATATATTTCTGTGTGGCTTCTTTCAGTCACCATTGTGTTTATGAAATTCATCCATCATTATATAACATATGTTATATTTATAAGCAGTTCTATTTTGCTCAATGGTATTCCATTGTATGAATATACCACAACTTAACTATTGTATTACTTATGCGTACTTGGGCGGTTTATAGTTGGGGGCTTTAAGGTACCTTTGCTGTGAACATTCTAGTATAGTGCGTGTCTTTTGATGAACCTAGGTATGCATTTCTGTTGCGTATATACCCAAGAGTGCATTTGATGGCATATGACTATTCAACTTCAGCAGATATGTCCCAACAAACTTGCCCAGTGTCCCATTTACTTGCCCATCAGCAGTATCTGAAAGTTCTGGATGCTTCACTTGCTAGTAAACTCTTGATATTATCTGTTTCTTTCATTTTAACCATTCTGGTGGTTTCTCATTATGATTTTTTTTATTTGTCTTTTCCTGAATATTAACAAAGTTGTGCACCTTTTCATATTTTCATATGTTCATTGGCCATCTCTTTGCTAATGAAATCTGTTCAAATATTTTATCCATTTTTCCATTGGGTTTTCTTTTTCTTACTGATTGGTAGGAGTTCTTCATATATTCGAGAAGTAAGTCCTTTTTCAGATAAATATAATGCACATATTTTCTCCCACTTTGTAATTTGCCCAACAAAAATTTTAATAACAAAAGCAATGAAAACAACTTCAAGGTCAGCTAAAGGAAACATGTTGAATAAATAACATAAAACACTACTATGAAAATGTGCTAATACATAATTTCCAAGACATGTTAAATGAAAACTGTAAGGTGCTTCATTCATATATTAAAAAGACTGTAAAACAGAGGAGACTATTATCACAGTTGACTTGGGGATGGGGATGGCCTCTTTGGGAAGGAAGGCTTACTTCTCTGTAAGCCCCTTTATGCCGTTTAAATTTTTACTCAATACATGTTAGCTATTTTCCATATTTTTAAAGTTTAAATAAAAACTAATTGATGTTAATAACATGGAGCAGTGTGGTAATCATATATTTTTGGTTATTTCTGTGTCTCCTCAGCAACTCTCTGGATGAGACCACCTATGAAAGGCTGGCAGAAAAGACACTGGACTCCTTAGCAGAGTTTTTTGAAGACCTTGCAGACAAACCTTACACATTTGAAGACTATGATGTCTCCTTCGGGGTACCTCTTTGCTTATTTTCATTTTTCTGTTTTTCCCTAAGAATTTTATTTTCACTAAATTTATATTTCACTAAAATAAAGAATTCCCCTCTAGTACAGTGACAGCATCCAGCAGCTTGTGGTTATTGGTGGAACCAAAAGACTAGCGTTCATGTGCCAGCCTTGCTCTGCCAGGCTTGTGACCCTGTGACCTTGGGCAAGTCACTCAGCCTCTTTGAGCCTCATGTCTGCTCAGGTTCTCATGCTTCACTTGATACCCTTGAAGGTAAGTCAGGGAAGGACTTGGGCATGGGTTTGTCTAGCAAGATGCCTCTCATCCTGCAGGCTTGGGGACCACAGGACTAGACTGCTAGTCCTTACTCAGGGTAAGGTATTGCCAGGAGGTGTTCAGACCACACAGACCTGGGCCCTGCTTCTGGAGATTCTAGTGCCCTAGGTTAGAGTGCATTCCCAGGAAGCCTATTTTTTTTTTATAATCTTAAAAGGTTTATATATAAAGGATATATAATCTTACGAAGGTTTCACGTGAGCAACATTATGGTTACTGCATTCACCCATATTATCAAGTCCCCACACACACCCCATTGCAGTTGCTGTCCATTAGCGTAGTAAGATATTATACAGTCACTACTTGTCTTCTCTGTGCTACACTGCCCAGGAAGCCTATTTTTAAAAGCTCACCCAGGGTACCCAAGATTCTGTTGGGTTCCTTGGGTCCCTCCTAGAGATTTTCATGTAATCGGTCTGGGCTGTGGGGTCTGGGGTTTTTTAAGTTTTTAAAATCACTCTCAGGTGATCCTAACGTACAGTTGGGGTGAGAACCAGGCCTGGGTGAAATTTGGGCCCCAGATCCTGCCAAGGGAGTGCTGTTGTGTATCAACTGGTCACCAGGTGGCAGACTTGAGCAAGGGTCAACCTTTCACTTGAGAATTTTGCTTAGGTCTTACTCAAGGGAGAGCTTTTTTTTTTTTGGCAGTAGGAGAAAATCCCCCACAGAGGTTAATACTCTTGACAATTAATTAATACCAGGAAATGTCATGAAGTGTGCATTTTTAATTAAAGCGTGGAATTATTTAGCACAACCAGCTGTCAGGCTAACGTAATAGAAATAATGTTGGATAATGCTGTAGAAGCCCTGGATAGAGAAGGGACTCCACCACGTGGAGCAGGCAACAGAACCTCAGAGAAAGTGTCCTGCCTGGTTGTAAGGACAGTGAGGGACTTGGCAGTAAAAGCAGGGGCACCAAGGCAGGGTCGAATGCCTTCCAGGTGTCCTCAGTGGTTGCTGCCAGCCCCAGAAAAAGCAGCCATGTGGGGCAGGGCTTCAGAAGTGCGTACAGCCGACCTCAGAAGGCAGAGCTGCCCAGGGCCACTGCAGATGGGCCTCCCCAGCTTGGCCATCTGTGGTGGTGAGAGCTGGAGCAGTTATAGGTCTCCTCAACCCCAGCCTCCCTACCGGGAGCTGCACTAGACAGAAACCACATCTCAGGCTGAACTCTGCCAAACATGCCCACATTTACTACCGTGCCACAGAAGCAGTTACACACCCCCGTCCTTACAGGCTTAGTGAAGCCCCAGCCTGACTAAAGCACTTTGTGTGAATGTTTCATTGGAAACAAAGGTACCAGTATTCTAGCAGCTCGATGCGGTCACTGAGTCAGGCTACCAAAGCTCCTGGGCAGTGGTGGGTCACAGGACCTTAGCTGGATCCTACCCCAAGTGTCTCTCTGAAGAGTCAGCTGGCCGCTGGGCCTTCCAGACTCTGTGCTTACTCCTGCTTGGGAAGAGGCTGCTGTTATTTGTCTAGCCGATCCATATACCTTGAGCATCATTCTACTCATGAGGGAAAAACTGTTGCTAACAACTCATTTGCCAATTAGGAAATTCTCTAGTGTGGATGTAGAAACCAAAGCCAGCAGTAGCTCCTCTGTAGTTTGGACTTCTGATTAACTACTTTGCAATGCTGCCCACCCCAAGGTGTGAATTCCTGCTTAGAGTCCTGTAGGAGCTAACGTGTGTGTTCCATATAGAAATCAGCTGTAAGTACATTATCTGCAATAGAACACCTGGAACACTATTATCAGTGTTTCATAGGAGTGCAGTCTTGCCCTGCCCTCAGGGTCCCCTTGGATGTTTCCTCCCCTGTGAAGCCCTCCTTCATGCTCCAGGCAGATATCACCCTTCCTTCCTTGCCCAGCACTCTAAGGATCGTTCTGGGGAGTACTGATCACCCTGTGTTATCACTATTGACACATCAGCTCCCAGGGCTAGACTGAGCTCCTTGGCCTCCAGGACACTGTCCATCCTTGGTGTCCCAAGGCCTGGAACATTGCTAAATATACAGTAGGGGCTTAATAGATGTTGATTCACTACATCAACACAATGGAGCTCAGTACCTTTCCAAAACACACCTTAATTGATGCCACTCGGCATCACAGATGTTTATCAACTTGCTCCTGGCCAGATAGATATATGAAAGCTGCTGGCGTCCAGATACACCCAAGACCACATTTGTTCTGCTTTGTCCCTGTGGAGTGGGAGGTGGAAGAGGCTTCTTGGCTGTGTGTGCTTATCCCATCAAATATGTAGCTAATGTTGGAAGTCAGTGTCAGGGTCAGGCCTCATCCCTTACAGGCACTACCGTCAGAGGGGACTGCCTGCCAGAGCAGTTGTCACTAGGCAACTGCAGAGTCTCTGCACTGGAACCAGCAAAATCCAGACACTGAGAAGCATCTCACTAGCTGAAGAGTTACCTCCAAGCCACCTTCCTTTTTTTCCCCTGCCCTCTTGGATATTTTATTTAGAATCTGCTTGCTGCTATGTTCTTCATTCACTAAGTTGTCAGCATTTTACTTCCACAAAGCAAGGTTTCTTAACCTTTCCTGGGTTGGCAACCCTGTAAGAATGTGGCTGCTGTAGACCCTCTTGAGAAAAACTTCTCCACATACCTATGAATACAACTTCAGCTTCAGGGGGGCTGTTTGCAGACCCCTGAGGACCACCTCTGGCCCCAGATTACAGATATTTGCACAGAAGCAGCATTTTATTGGATATGGAGACAAAGGTTCTGGCTCCACATCCAGTGTTTGTATTTTTTTTTCCTAAGGGTCCTTAATTATCTAACTTCTGTGAGTGGCAGGTTCTTCAGCTGTGAAGGTGACATTCCATTATTTCTCCAGGTTTACATGAGGATTAAATATTTTTAAGTGTTTCACGTTCATTAGTCTGATTTTCTTAAGGGGAAGTCAGTGTCTATTTTTGGACTGTGGGAAGCCACACATATATGACATCCCCTGACTCAACAGGCTATCCCATGTATGTTTCTGCAAATGAGGTGGTGACAACAGAGATTGCTGTTTTTGCTCCCACATTGTGTAGGGTTGATATAGACTGGTGGCAATGACTACACCTGTGGCCAGGATCTGTTCTGACTGGTTAGTGCTGTGTCTCAGCAGCTACTAAATATTTTGCTATCTCTCCACTTCCCCTCCCGTCCCCTGCATTTAAGTCTGCCCACACTCCCAAAAGAGTCTCAGATTGCTCATTAATACCAGTAACCAAAACGCCCTCTTCATCTGGTCTCCTTATAGACAGCTCCCAAAGCAAGAACTCCTGGTGAACCAGTAAGGCAGTCAGGTTCCCTCCTCCGCTCGCCACCTCCCTTTGGAAACTGCTTCAGGCTCCAGGGGAACTAATTATGTCCAATGTACTGGAAGTGGGGGTGGTTGAGTGTGGAGACTTTCTGCCTTGCGTCACTTGCCCTTAACTTTGGCTCATGTTATCACAGTGCCTGGTCATCGTTGGCCTGTTCATGCACCCATTAAGTGTATTTTTGCATCAACCAGTATTTTGCACAAAGAATGGATGTGTTAGACACTGAAGATGCTAGGATCTGCTCTCAAGGTGCTTAAAGTAGTGGAGGGATGGTGGCAGGTGACCAGCAAATAAGCCAGCAGCTTGGATGCAGTGAGGAAAGTGCAGAGAGGCTGTGGGGACCCTGGTCCCTGCTGAGGGGTGTCAGGGTAATCTTCCCAGAGGTGCCTCAGCTGGGACCTGGAGTGGAATGAGTTGCTGGTCTTGTTTGGGGAGGGGATTCTGCAGAGAAGGTACCAGGCAGAGGAAACCACTTGGGGCCTGGGCATCTAGAAGGGCGCTCATGGTTGTTTTATTAATATGCTCTCTGTGAATGAGTGGCCTGTGCTCTAGGGTCACTCAAGACCTGGGGTTACTCAAGACCTGGGGTTGGGAAGCATTGATATTACCCTTCAGTGATTGTATCCACCATCCCGATGGGGTCCCCTGTTCTAAGGCTGTGATGAGGAGCTGGTGCCGAAACTCTGCACACCCATCCTGGCATTGTCTCTGAAGGAGGTGGCACAGATCTCCTGAGGAAACAGACATACTTGATGAGATGCAGACCTCATATCTCTGCCCCATCCCCCGCCCTTGCCCCTGCAACTGCACCGGAGTGTAGGGTACAGTACACAGGGCTGCAAATAGGTCAAATTAGAAACAATCATGTCTTGATTCCCTGTGCCTGATTTCTCATGGGAAAATAAGCCATGAAAGTGTGTCAGGGAGGAGGAAGGAATTGGGAGTGGCTGCTAATGGGCATGGGGTTTGTTTCAGAGGTGATGGAAATAATCCAGAATCAGACAGAACGATGTTTGCATGCTTGATGAAAACACTGTGAAATGCTAAAAACCACTGAACTGTGCAGTTTTAAGACAGTTTTAAGTAAATGAAAGGCAGTCCTACCAAAACAGTGGGTTTCAGGAAAACAATTTTTGAAAAAACAAACTTATGTACACTGTGATTCTAGCCCTTTTAAGAAATGCATTTGAAAACTGGCAGCTGATACCTCAGAGTGAGCAGCTCCTACCCCTGGTTAATGGAACTGAGAGAGCACACTTCCTGTCAATGGGAAGAGCTGCCTCTTGGGGACGCAGACAGACCTGGATTGAAGATCAGCTGTGCCAATGGCAAAGTATTCTTTATTACTCTGTCTCTGTTTTCCTCATCTGCAAAATTGGAATAATGATTCCCACCTCTGATGTTTATAGTCATGGTGGAAACAGTTTTACACAAGGTGTCCAACACAGGTACTGAATTATAGTAGTTATTATTTTTATTGATGTTTTCATTTAATTTATACTATCTGTATTCCCGGTATCCATAATTTTTCATTTCTTTTTTAATCAGGAAAAAAAGTGCTGTTAAAAATATGACGCTGTGGAGTTCCCATCCCATGCATTTCAGTTATGTTATTATTGGTACTTCCTTCTGCCTTTTCTATAGCTCTTTGTTTTTACCAATCAAGCACAAAGCTATTCAGGACCCCTTGGTTGGCCAGGGGCTCTAGGAGGCACAGAGAAGGGCTGCAGTGTATCAGTGTATCTCTGTGGGTCATGCATGGGATGGGGGGACAGCAGAGGCTCCCTCTTGCTCACCAGCTCCAATAAAGGGTGCCTGGCTATATAGCTGTTTCTTTAATATCCTGTGCATGCTAAAGAGACCTCTGACCTTGGGAGTAAAGGGCTCCTTGTTAAAGCAGTGTTTTCAAATTTAAATGACCATTTCTTGAGCTAAGATGGACCAACCCCTCTTTTGACAAATTCAAGGCTCTTGTAAAGGGTGAGTGTCTGAAAAGCTTATGAGTGCTTGGGAAGGGTCTGAAAATAAAGACCCTAGTCTAGAGTGTCTGCCTTCTACCAGCAGAGCTGAAGCTATTGCTCTTTTAAGACAAGCAAAGCAGTTGATTTGATTGCTTCCTTCTTCCTTGCCTTTCTCTGTTTTTCTCATTTTGGACTTGTCCTGTCCAGTGTTTGTGCGGACGTGGTACTCGGGTAGACTGCACTTTTTAACGACCTCTGGTGTGTTCTGGCTGGTAACCGAGGGAACCAGGGCAGCAGCCGGGGTACAGATCCTCCCGTTTGCCAGCTGTATACCTCAGACAAGCCACTTAACACATGGAGCTTCTGTTTGCTCACCTCAGAGAGTGGAATTACGGTAATTCTCATCTTGCCAGCATCACTGAGAAGGAGCAGAGGACTGTGAGATACAAGTATTACTGTGATTAGTCAAAGGCTGATTCTGAGAGCAAGGTTTTTTCTGCAGATCTCCTATTTCTAAATACTAAATTAAAGACATCTCTTTATGGTGTATGTGCTCTACTTCTAGAAATGGAGAGTGTTGACATGCAACAAAATGTGAAGCAATTATTACAAAGTGATAACATTGTCTTGTTTTATTTTCCTCATATTTTCCACCTGATCCACCAGAGTGGTGTTTTAACAATTAAACTAGGTGGGGATCTAGGAACCTACGTGATCAACAAGCAGACTCCAAACAAGCAAATCTGGCTATCTTCGCCATCCAGGTATGTTTTGAGGTCAGAATATGTCATTCTTAAGCTTGTTTAAAATGTGACATTTATTTGAAATGGACTGTTTAACAGGTTTTGCCCTGGGGTGTCAGTATCTCTTATATTAAACTTTTTCTGACACTTCACAGCATGTCTCCTTCTCACTAAGAGAGTTTACTCTGGTGATATAACTTCTGTCTGGTGATAACTTGGCTGCTGTATGCAGATATGCAGATATTGGGGTGTTAATATCAGAAGCAAAAAGTGTAGCTTTTCAGCACCTAGCCTAGACAGTTTTTCTCTATTAAGTCATTGCCAAGTGTTTAAAAAGCCACTTACTTTTGATATTGAAGCATCTGAACAATTTGCACTTTGTCTTGCAAGCAAGTTAACATTTCACCTCTAGTGTGTTTTGAGCATATCAGCTAAAAGTTTAATTCCATTTGCAGAACTGGGCTGTGTGCTCTGTGGAGGTGAGAGAGCATTTTAAGCTGCTACTTCCGAACATGTAATCCCCCTGCCTTTTCCATTGATGTGCTTTCAAACTAGCAGAATAAAAGATTGTGTTGGAGACTACCTGCACTGTGTCTCAAGGCCTGAGAAACCATGCAGGGGGAGAGGGTCCCTCATCCATCCAGCTGCTGCTGAAGTATTTGTAAGAAAGTGAAAGAGAGACACTCACAAAACGCTCTCAGGCTGATGTTCCTGGGCCACCCATTAGCACTTCCAGAGAGAACATATTGGCTGTGAACTGGGAAGGGCCCAAATATAACCAGAGCAAGCCTGGAATTCTTTGAAAGCCCAATGGTATTTGCATTAAAAAAAAAAAAATCACAACTCTTCCCCTTCCCCCATGTTGACATCACTTTTAAGCAGTTAAAATTACACTGCTTACTGTGCTGTGATGTATAATTAGTTGTTCAGAAGAAGCATATGCCTCCTTCATCCCAGCCTCATCTAGAAAGTATATTATGATTCAACAAAAACAACTCCAGAAATCACTGTCATTTCTAGCAAGGCCCTATTCACATATCATATTGCTTTTTAGACCCAGTTAGCTTACTTGAAGTTAGTGGTTTGCCCTGCCTGGGCCAAATAGCCTATTCTCTCAGGCCTCAAACAGCTGTCCTGACCTAACCATGGCCATGCATGAGGACTGCAGATTTTTATCCTTCATCTCCAGAGGAACCTGCCCAAGAAGCTGGGTGGATCAGCTCAGATCCAGCCATCACCTTGGGGGACTGGTGGATTTGTAAATACCAGGCAGGGCACCAGAACCAGCTGTGGTGGCCCCACTAACAGAATTCCCTCTACATTGCGCCTGTAGACTGAAAAAGTCCATATTGTATTTGGACACACCTACCAGCAATAAGATTGTACCTCAGGCATGTTTAATCTGTAATGCATGATGGGAATGTGGAAGTAAAATCTGCCAAGCAAGGAGATAAAAGACCTGTACTCTGAAAACTTAAGACATTGATGAAAGAAACTGAAGATGACACAAATAAATGGAAAGATATTCCATGATCATAGATAGGAAGAATTAATATTGTCGAAATGGCCATGCTACCCAAAGCACTTTACAGATTCAGTGCAATCAATCCCTATCAAAATACAAGTGGCATTTTTCACTAAACTAAAAAAAATAATCCCAACATTTGTATGGAACCACAAAATACTCCAAATAGCCAAAGCAATCTTGAGAAAGAAGAACAAAGTTGGGGGTCTTACACTCCCTGATATCAAGTTATACTACCTACAAGCAAAACTTCTGAAGTGTCCTACATTAAGTGACACAAGGGCCAGAGAATAAGGGAGAGAGACAAGACAAATTCATCAGTCAATAGCTGTGGAACAGAGCTAACCAGAAACTCCACGTTCCTGGATGAAGTCATTTCAACAATCATCTAGAGTGTCCTCTGGACCACCACATCCCCCTTGGCATGACCATGTCTGACCATCATCAACAACCAATCCATGAGCCTTCTCTCTGGACTAACTAGCTATTCCAGGACTTTCCTTATTTCACGTTAATTTGCCTTCCTTATCTGTAGCCCATGTGAACTTGAAGAACTTTCTTTCCTTAAAGCCTCATAAATGTGCCCTGTTTCTTGAGTTAAGCAGGCAAGTTGTTCCTGTTAACTGGCTGTGAAGCAGAAATTTCCTGTCGCAGGACTTAGTCCTTCTAGTTGCATCTGTAATGGCTCAATAAATTATTTTATTTCAGAGATCTCTTGGTTTCTAGAGTTTTTGATTTGTCACTACAAAGCTATAGTGATTAAAACACTATGGCACTGGCACAAAAATAGATACATGGATCAGTGGAACAGTGGAAATAAAACTCTGCATATATGGTCAGTTAATATATGACAGAGGAGACAAGGATATACAGTGGGGAAAAGACAGCCTCTTCAGTAAATGGTGCTGGAAAAACTGGACAGCTACATGCAAGGTAATGAAACTGGATCACTGTCTAACACATACACAAACTCAAAATAGATCAAAGACCTAAATGTAAAACATGAAACTATAAAACTCTTAGAAGAAAACGTAGGCAAAAATCTCTTGAACATAAACATGAGCAATTTTTTACTGGACACATCTCCTCTGGCAAGGGAAACAAAATGCATAATGAACAAGTGGGACTACATCAATCTAAAAAGCTTCTGTACAGCAAAGGACACCATCAGCAGAACAAAAAGGCAGCCTATAGTATGGGAGAATATATTTGTAAATGATTTATCTGGTAAGGGGTTAACATCCAAAATATATAAAGAACTCATATGCCTCAACACCAAAAAAAAACCCAATTTAAAAAATGGGTGGAGGACCTGAACAGATATTTTCCAAAAAAAATACAGATCACCAAAAAGCACATGAAAAGATGCCCCACATTGCTGATTAGTAGGGAAATGCAAATCAAAACCACAATGAGATAACTCCTCACACCAGTCAGAGTAGCCACTACACAAAAGAAGAAATAACAAGGGTTGTTTAGGACATGGAGAAAAGGAAACCCTCCTACACTGTTGGTGGCAGTGTCAGTCAGTGCAGCCACTGTGGAAAGCAGTATGGAAGGTCTTCAAAAAACTAAAAATAGAAATATCATACAACCCAGTAATTCCACTTATAGGAATTTACTCAAAGAAAACAAAATCACTGATTCGAAAAGATATATCCACCGCTATGTTTATCTCCTCATTATAGCCAAGATATGGAAGCAACTTAAATATCCATCAATAGATGAGTGGATGAAGAAGATGTAGTACATATACACAATGGAATATTACTCAGCCATTAAAAAAGAAAATCCTGCCATTTGCAACAACATGGATGGATCCAAAGGGTACTAAGTGAAGTAAGCCAGGTGGAGAAAGACAAATGCTATATAATATCACTTATTTGTGGAATATAAAAGCAAAACATAATGATCAAAATAGCTGTAGATTCATAGACACTAAGAATGGACTGGTGGTTACCATGGGGGAGAGGATGAGGTGGGTGGGTAGGTAGTATAAAAGGGATAAAGTGATGCAAAAATTCTCAATCATAATATAAGTTGGTCTCGGGGATGGAGGTACAGCATGGAGAATATAGTCAATGATTCTGTAACATCTTCCTATGTTGACATAGTAACTGCACTAGTGGTGGTGAGGATTTATTAATTTGGGTAACTGTTGAACCACTGTGTGTATACTTAAAACCAATATAAGATTCTTATCAATGATACTTCAATAAAAAAATTAAATAGCCAATAAGAACCACAACAAAATAAAACGGAAAGAAAAAAGAAAAACAAAAGATCAGAATCTGATACATGGAGACTCATCAATAGGGTCAAGGTGTTTTCAGGTCTTGAGAATTGTTATGATTTGTGCCAGAGGATAAGTTATGTAATTATTCCTAAATAAACTCTGAGACAAGAAGTCAAATATATGCCTCAGTAAGAATTACTCCAGTCAATTTCTTGCTGCAACATCTGTGGAATCAGTTTCTTATAAAGGCTGTCCTCACGGACTGTGTGTTTACTCTGTCTTACAGTGGACCCAAGCGTTATGACTGGACTGGGAAAAACTGGGTGTACTCCCACGACGGTGTATCCCTCCACGAGCTGCTGGCTACAGAGCTGACTGAAGCCCTGAAAACCAAATTGGACTTATCCTCTCTGGCCTATTCTGGAAAAGGCACTTGATGACCAGCCCAATTCTGAAGGCATTAAAAGCTGTAAAGCCAAGACCCGAGTTTCATTCTGCAGCTGAGTGTCTAGTTTTTTCTATTCCTCCTGTTGAGGACAGTCGCACTGTATGTAACAGCTCTGTGAAAGGAATACATTGCCTCCTCCAACCCCCAAGTTCAGATTTTTAATTTCCAGAGTTTTTTGGATTGTCCAGTTTTCTTCCTCACATTGATATCCCTTATCTTAAATGATGTCCATATATTATACCTTTTTATATATCATTACAACACAAAAATAATACCAAGGAAAAATTGCAGGAAGAGAAATGAATTGATTTCTCTGTTCATTCTTTGGAGGACTTACTGCAAAAACTACATGAAAAGCAGCTTGCCGACCTCCCCATTCTCTCTCAAAATGAGACTCACTGAAGAGTAGCCTGTAAATGTTCTCACACCTCTTGAAAACGTAAACATTTTCTAAGCCCTTTATATTGAAGTGTCAGTGACAGTTCGGAAATCCCCAGCCGGAATCCCCAGTCTCTGTGCTTTCTGTCTGCCAGAGAGTGGCCTGCATGGAGTAACTCAGGGATATGTGATGTCCATTCTAACATATATACAGATATATGTATAAAACACACATTTTAAGTATATGTGTGTGTAGTATTTGGAGGATTTAAGTAATTTAAGCATCAGTATAGAATTAGCTGCTGCAACACAGGCCTGAGAAATGCAAAAAATCTCCGAAAGACAAGAGGGACCAAAAAACACCTGTGTAAGTTCAATGAATATGTTAGGGGAGGTGTTGTGTATTTTCCTAAGTTCTTGTTCCCACCGCAACAAAGAATTGAAGGGCAGAGACACAGTAATGAGGCAGAGTAAAAGTTTTATTTAAAGTTACTTAGAGAATAAGTGCAGACGACCTCAGGGAGGAAAGGCGCCCTGAGAGGTTTAAGCTTTATTTAAAGAGAGCAAGTGCACACTTGGAGAAAGGAGAGTGTGAGCTGCCTCACAGAAGAGGTGCACTGAAAGGCTGAGATAAAGTTTTAAGGCTGCATGCACTTAGGAAGTGCTGGGGACCTCAGAGAGAGGAGCACACTGAAAGGCTGGGAAAGAGTTTTATTAAAGTTACGCACTTAGAAAGTGCGGGTGACCTTAGAGAGAGGAGTACACTGAAAGGTTTAGGGTCTGGGGTTTTATAGACAATTGAAGATTTTCAGGAATGTGACACAGGGCCAGGTGTGGACCAGCCAAATTGTCCCAGAATGTTCATCTTTGTTAAGACATAAAGTTTCTTCTTTTTTTAACTTAACACAAGAAATATATACTGCTTTGATTTCTCTCCAGGATATCAGCTTTTGTCTGGAAGCATATCAATCAAGACTGTTGGCCTTGCCTCCAAGGTGGGCTGAGCCACTATCCATTTGATTAAAATTCAATCTTAGCTTTAAGATAGAATTCTCCCTAAATAAGCTGGGCCTTTTAGCAGATGCTAAAGTAAATCTTACAATGGTATGTTCTAATTGATGCAGTGAAAACATAGGCTATGCTAAGATACTTTTCTTTATCTGGGAGTATTCTAACTTCTAGGCTAAGTTGCTCCTGGCCTTCTGAGCTTTCTATTTTTAACTGGTTAACTCTTTGAGTCCCTTTACTGGCCTTATTCTCTTTCCACCCCGCTCATGTCTGTTTTCCTGCCTAACAAATGTAGTATAATAAACTAGGTAATGGAGCTGAGGAGGTGCTTCGTAAATTGTGAAGGGCCACATAAATCAAAAGGTATTCGTGTTAATGAAAAAGAAGCCTGTTACTACATACACATGGCTCAGTTCAACCTTGTCTTATTAAAGACTTATTACTGACAAGCCTATGCAAATATGTACCAAAGGTTTTTGCAGTGACCAAAACCACATTCCATTATGGGAAATCTCTTTAACAATAGAACAATATAAACAAATGCTTGAATGAACATTTAAAATACTTCCTTTCCTTTCTTCAAAATAAAATTTTTTTTTGGTCCGGTGATCATTTTTAAGTGTGGTTAGTACCAGTGAGAAAATAAGTAAAACTCTGTGTGTGTGTGTGTGTGTGTGTGTATGTGTGTGTGTGTGTGTGTATGTCTATCTCTTGCTTCTAATGAAGTTTCACTGTACCTCACTTCCTTAGAACTTGGATAAGTGGTGAATTCACTTGGGACACACAAAAAACATCAGAGGTATGTAATTGGGCTGCCATAACAGGAAAATGGAAGTTAGGGAATCTGCTCTTAGTACTTTCCCTGTAAGGCTGGCCCTTTACATACAGAATTCTAACTGATTTAATTATTTGGTTTCTGAGGCCCTGAGACATTCCATTCAAGACAGAAAAATGCCTGTAAGCACAAAAACAAGAACCAGGGGGAGGAATAAAAATCTTGCCCTGGCAAGCAAACTGGAAAAGCCCCACAGTGTGGGGCCAGGAGCCCCCACACCTCGGACCCTGAGAGCATCAACACATTCATGTTATCATCCATGTTAAGGGTGACTTTCAGGAAAATATTGTAAATATTCACTGTAATATGTTAAAGGAGGCAAGAAAATGTGTAATAAAATTTCAGAAAAGTTTCTGTTCAGCTTCCTTGGGGGATAGGCCATCAGCCACTAGAAAATAAAAGCTATCCACAATGATTTATTTATCTCCTTCTGAAGATACAAAGCACCAGGGTATAGAAAAGAGAACCTGCAGTTTTTTAATCAGACCTCTAATGATTTAATCCAACGTGGTCACTGACTTGTGAAACTAGCCTCAGTTTTCTTCTCTGTGAAGTGAAGCTAGCTAACCTGTGGCACGTGGGCCTACATGCAGAGCACTCAGAACATGACAGATACTGTTACCCTATGTCCAGCATGATTTGATAATCAAACACCCCCCTATTATTTATGACATCCTGTGCTCAACCTTGAACTTAATCAAAATGGTCATTTTTGTTACCAGAGTTGTGGGTTCTGACTCTCTGGAACAATTTTTTTTTTTTTGGCCCCTATAATGCTTATATTT